ACCCTGGCCCCTGGGCCACGTCTGATCAGATCCCGCCCTTCCTGGGGGTTCCCCCGGCCACCGAGGACTGGGGGGTGCGGGTCCGGGCCGCACCTCACTGCGCCGGTTCCCCCAGAGGGCGCTGGCCCGTGCTGGGGTTCACAGTGTTGCCCTCTGTTGTCACCCCCCACACAGCCACTCTGCATGGCATGTGCTCAGTGCCACCTTCCAGATGAGGCGGGAAGGGTTCGAGGGAGGAGGGGGGGGGGCTGGAGGGGGACTCGGGGCCCCAGACCCCTCCCCACAGAGGGACCCTAGTCTCAGAAGGGAACTAGAATGTCACTGGGGGTAGGAAGCGCGTGTCGCCAGTTGCAAGATAAGTTTTATCAGCAAAAGTGTGAAAATCAATTTTTTTATCAGTTAAAATAAAAGGCAAGCCTCTGAGTCGGGGCGGCGCCTTCTCCCGAGGAGCCATTTGGTATTTATGACGTCATGCGCGGCCACACAGATCATCTGAGGAACTCGCCGCTCTGTCCGCTCAGACATGTCATTAACTGCCCCTAAGGCGCGGCAGGGCCAGACCGAGTGGCCTCGCGGGTGCCCACGGCCCATGGCCCACGGGCCGGACGCTCCCCACCCCTGCCCTCCGGAGCCCATGCCCCCACCAGCTCTGGACTCGCCAGGGGCAGAGGCTGTGCTGCACCGAAAGGCAGGGGGCTCTGAGGGCGAGTGATGGCCACCTGCCCCCGGGGCCTGAGGATGACCCCGCTCCCCTCCTGGCCTTCCTGGGCCCAGCACGTGCCTGGCATGTGTCAGGGCTGAGTCACCGGCTGGCCGTGCCCCTCAGAGCCGGGCCGTGGCCACCGCCCCCGAGAAGGAAGGGTGGGTGCCCGCTATGTCGGAGGAGCTCCAGCCTCCTGGGAACTCGGGAACCCCATTTTTGAGGCCCGCCCATGGCCCCGCCCCTCCCCAGGAGGGAAAAGGGAGCCGCCAGTCGCTCAGCTCACAGGCACTGGGAGGACCAGAGGACAGACTGCGGTTGCCACTCCAGGTGGGTCCTGGGCCCTCCCTGCTCTGGGGCACCCCGGTAGGGCCAGCTCTGCCGTGTCTCCAGACCCCCCCCCACCCTTTCCCAGCTCCCCCAAGGGACTGCCACTTGGGGGCGGCTGGAGACGGGCCCTCACGCTTGCTGAAGCCCAGGCACACACACACGGACACGCAGGCCTGGCACCCGGGCATCTCCACAGCCTGGCTTTCCCTGGGTGGGGACTGTCCCTCCACCGAGCCAACAGTCTGCTCTGCCCACCCTGCCAGGCCGGGCCATGGACCCCCACGAGATGGCAGTCAAGAACCCCTACACCCACATCACCATCCCCCGGGCTCACCTGCGGCCGGACCTGGAGCAGCAGCTGGGGGCAGCCCCCTGCTCCTCAGAGCTGCAGCCTCTGTCTGGGGGTGCCTGCGCCCTGGAGCCCGGCCGCCTCCTGCAGCCCATCGAGGGGGCCAAGGGCGCCGAGGGGGCCAAGGGCGCCAAGGGGGCCAAGGGCGCCAAGGGGGCCGCCCCTGTCCAGGGCCAGCTGTCCTGGCAGCAGCCTGGCAACCCCTACTGCAGCGGGCGCCCGGCGGGACTGACCTACACTGGCCTGCCGCCCATCGGGCGCGGCGACGACATCGCCCACCACTGCTGCTGCTGCCCCTGCTGCTCCTGCTGC